TTATATGGTATTGATTTAGTTCCTAACTCATGGTAACTCCATGCATAACAAAACAAAAAGCTGCCTGATCTTTCACCCTTCTTGTGATTGCTTATGATCCATAGATGCTCAAATAATTTCTTTTGGAAGGATCAGCACAAGGCTAGTCCCTATGAGGTGGAGGTTAAGGATGTCCCAAATGTCCAACTTTTCCAAACTGCTGTAGTGCTCCATCATCTCAAACATCAACTTGTCCTCCTCTTTTCCCCTCAGTACCCTCCCTTGTCTTAGGGTTCTGTATTTTGCTGTAATGTCTTACAAATCTCACAAACTGCCAGAGTAATGGGTCATGTGGTGGTGGAGGCCGGCAGGCCCCAAATATGTGGGTCAGCAGTTAGTCTGGAGGATTCTCTTCTCTCACATAGTTGTAGGGGCTGACAGATCCAATTAGGCAGGTCAGATGACTAGATGCTGTCTCAAGTCTAGGGGTGAGAAGTTGACAAACCAAATGCAGGATCCAGAGCAAGGCAAAGAACTTTGTCAGAATATTCACATATATACCCGGAAGGAAACTAAGGGTGGTAACTTGAGTCATATCCTTTAGCAGGGTGGGACTCAAGATACATCCACCTTTATCCTGCCTCATCCGTGCACAGACAGCTAACCCCAAAATTGGACCATAGTCACAGGCACAGTGGCTAGGATTTACACTAAATCATAAAATGGAGGATGGTGGCTAGAAGGGCCGTATTAAGCAAATCACTGCACTGCAATAGGGTTTCCATTGCCTAATTTTTGGAAGTAGATCACCAGGCCTTTCTTCCTAATCTTTCTTAGTCTGAAAGTTCTGCTGAGTTTGGCATCATAAGAACACAGAAGCTGACAATTAGGTGGTGGCTGCAGTTGAGGTACATGGCCAAGAATCAAACCCCAGTCTTTCTTGTGGAAGGTGAAAATGCTACCACTGAGCCACTACTGCCCCATTAGAAGCCTATTAGATTTATTTATTTTTAATAAGGTGATAAAATTTACTTAACCTATAAAATATTTTTCAAATTTAGTAACATCAAATTACCTGGAGTCCTTGTTAAAAATGTATTTGCCTTTCAGCCAACCAACACATGAAGAAATTAGCCCTTCCAAAACTAAACCAAACTCACTGCTGTTGAGTCATTTCCAACTCATAGTGACCCCTCCTTAGATTTCCGAGGTGGTATTTCTACAGAAGTAGGTTGCCCAATCTTCCTTCTCGAGGAGTGGCTGGTGGTTTTGAACACCCAGCCTTCTGATTCATATGCGCCTTAGGCACTATGCCACCAGAGCTCCCCATTAGCCATTGTTGTTGTTGTTATGTGCCGTTGAGTCGGTCCCGACTCATAGCGACCCCTCCTTGGGTTTCCGAGGCAGTATCACTACGGAAGTAGGATTGCACAACCTTCCTTCCGAGGAGTGGCTGGTGGGTTTGAACCGCCAGCCGTCTGGTTAGCAGGCAAGTGTCTTAGCCACTATGCTACCATTAGCCATTAGAGAGATGCAAATCAGAAGAACAAGGAGATTTCATCTCACCCCAGCAGTAATAGCAAAATCCAACAAGACAGAAAACAACAAATGCTGACAAGGGTGTGGAGAGATTGAAATTCTCATACACTACTGGTGGGAGTGTAATGATACAACTACTGTGGAGAATGGTATGGCACTTCCTTAAAAAGTTCAAATTAGAAATACCATTTGATCCAGCAATCCCATTACTAGGTATATATCCTAAAGAAGTGAGAACAAGGACATGAATAAACATATGGACACCCATATTCATCACAGCACTATTCACAATAGCAAAGAGATAGAAACAGAACCTAAGTGCCATCAACGGATTAATGGATACGCAAACTATGGTACGGCTTTAAAGAATAATGAAAAATCTGCGCATGACCTCATAATGTGGATAAACTTGGAAGACATTATACTGAGTGAAATAAGTCAATCACAGAAGGGCAAATATTGTATAAGTCCATTATAAAGCATATATAGTTTTTGCAGATTTTTCTGCTTATATATTTGAATGTGCTACAGATATATGCAGGAGCTCTGGTAGCGTAGTGCCTAAGGCACTTGACTGCTAACCAGAAGGCTGGCTGTTCAAACCCACCAGCCACTCCTCAGAAGGAAGGTTGGGCAATCTACTTCCATAGTGATGCCGCCTTGGAAACCCAAGGAGGGGTTGCTGTGAGTCAGGTCTGACTCGACAGCACATAACAGCAACGATGACAACAGATATATGTAGGTATATAGTAAAGTATACACAGGCCAAACTTCTTAGCCATAATGAAACACCTTGAAGGACTGAGTCACTGGGCTTGAGGGCTTAATCTCAGGAGACATCTAGGTCAGTTGGCATAATATAGTCCATAAAGACATTGTTCTAATCCTACTTTGATAAATAGAAACTGGGGTCTTAAAAGCTTACAAGCAGCTAAGATACAACTCTTCTTGTCTGGAGCAAAGAAGAATAAAGAAAATAAAAAACTCAAAGAAACAGTCCAGAGGACTAATGGACTACACAAACCACAGTCTCCACTAGTGTGATAGTTGGAGCTGTGTGTCAACTTGGCTGGACCCCAGTTCTGTGTGGTTGTTCCCATGATGGGATCAGATGACTGTGTTCTGAGTGG